TTTTTACTTTGCTAAGTTTAAATCTGGCTTCTCCTTTTATGCTCTTTGAGTCTGTCCTGAGACTCTCACTGTTTGCTTGGAATTTCATATTTCCCTCGGGGTTCCCAAGCCTTAATTGCTTTCTCATTGGGAGAGCTCTTTTCAAAGCTGTCAAGCATTGACTAGCAGCCTGTATGTGATTAGTCTTATCAGTTTTACATTAAATATTTATTATTCTCACTGGAGATCTGAACACAGGAGACACACCTTAGGGGAAGCCCAGGACTAGGATCAGGAGGGGAACTGCAGATGAAGATCAAAAGAAAGGGTGTGTCATTACTGGGAGCTTAGGGGAGAGAGGAATGCAGAGCCAGAGGGGTGGTGGGTAGGGGAGAAAGAGAGAAGAAGGGAGAGTGAAGAGGGAGGGAGGCGGAAGAGGAGGGAGAAGGGAGAGAAGGAGGGCAGGGGAGAGACACAGAGAGAGAGAGAAAAGAGGAAGAGAGAGAGGAGAAGGGAGAGAGAGAAAGGGAGGGTGGGGAGAGGGAGAGGTCAGAGCAAGAGTAGCAGCTACTCCTACTCCCAGTTTAGTGGCTGCTGTCTACATAAGACAAAGTGAAGTGGGTTTGACTCCAATTTTCTTGTTTGCCTGTCTACAATAATGAAAACTGGATAGCAGGCACACATCCACTTTCATTTCTGCTATATAATAACACATACTGCACACGCTGGCCAGCCAGTATGTTTGACATCAACCAGCTGTTCCTTTTTGAAATACCAGCTGCCTAACCATCTGAGATGTGCAGAAACAACATTGGAACTCATGGTGCTACCCAAATCACTCTACCTCTCTTGCTCTCAGTTTACTCCTCTGGTACATGAAGGTTAGCAGCTCTCAAACATCCCTTTCAGCTTAAGCCTCTGATTCTATGCTTTTTTTCCTCTCTTGGAGGTATGCATGCATGTTCATCAATTAAATAATACATTTATATATAATTAACCTTATGAAATTATCAGAATCCAAGCATGCAACTGATCCATTCCTCACAAGCCAGGCCCACGACTTTTGTTTGAAACAACTAAACTACAATTGATTCCACTGGGGATGAGAGGTTGTCTGAATGATTGATTGTGATGCAAAGGTTAGCTTGTCAGGAATCAATCTGATTCTGTTGTTATCATCCTGGCTGCCTTAAAGAATGAATTGGATTACACAGTGATCCAGACAACTTTCTGGCAATTGGCCTGCCAAGGGTTGGGCTGACGGGCCACATAGCTCCGGCCTCATTTTAACCACTAGGACAGGACATGAATTTAAACTTCCTGCATTCAAGTATTTTTTTTTTCTTTGCAAGCTGCTATGCATCAAGCACCATATCTTGGATTATCTTTATTGACTGTAAATATTTAAAATAGTTTATGGTGCTATAAACTTTGATTCCCTCAAGCTTAAATATTAAATGCTGTGCAGACTTTTCTTTCTTCAAAAGACATTCCTTCAATGTCGCCTAAGGTTTAACAACTGATTGTTCTTCACCATTAACAATGAGAAACGCTCTGGTTCTAAGGATCCAAAATGGAAGTTCTTTACCCAGCCCTGTTTGAGGGAGGCAGGGACATATTTGCTTGGGTGGTATGCTGATATACAACATTTTCATGGTGAAAAGTGGGAATAATGTCCTTAGAGGAGGTGTACCTACTCTGGAATGCAATTTCCATCCCACTGACCTTCCAGACTTTCTATCTTTAATCACCTCAGGTAGTTAATTACTATATTAATAATTATTATTAATGATAATAATAGCCAGCATTGATATAGCACTTTGAGTTCATTTCATCCTGCAGAAACCCCAGGAGCTAGGTGCTGTTATTATCCTTATATTGCAGGTGAGGAAACTGAGCCAAACAGAGATTAAATGACTTGCCCAGGGTCACACAGTTGAGACATGTGTAAGGAAGTATTTGAACTCAGGTCTTCTGGATCCCAAGTTCAGCAGTCTCTCCACTGCACCATCTAGATGTTTTAGAGTTTGACAAGCTAGTTTTTTGGAGGCAAGACAATGATTAGATCCGTAGGCACTTGATTATCCCGGGAGAAGCCCATGGCTGATGAAGAGTATATACTATATGTCAGAGTGAATGGCATCATTATAAGAAAATTCCACCACAGTGAAGAGAAAGACTATTATCTTGGTTGACTTAGGACTGAGTCCTAAAGGTTCTGCCCTGATGCTCCATTAGTCCTGTCAGGTTCCTTCAAGGCTCCCTGCCCACTGAATGGGGGTAATGTAAAGAGCACAAGTATAGCTTTTCCTTTTCCTTTTACTACAGAGGGAGGAGAAAAGGGTTTAGCAGTAGGAGGTGAAGAGGGTTCCTTCTTTCAGGATGATCTGGCCAGGCAGACCAGGGAGACAGAAGATGTCTTTCATGATCATTTGTCTAAGCAGTCTTCACCTGAGTTTACTAATCCTATTGCTAGACCCAGATGAGCATCATGAGAGCCATGAGTCTGGGTCATGATAAAACTTTCCAGCTGGGTTCAGTAGACTTGATGGGAATCAGGTATCTATACTTGATTATAGATTATATATTTACAGATGGAAGGAACTTTAAGGCCATCTAAGTCAACTCTATTATTCTACAGATTAGGAAACTTAGGTCCTGAAAGGCTAATTGAGTTATCAACATTCCTACAGGTAGTAAGTGGCAGAACAGGGTTTTGAATGGGGTCAAATCAACCTACAGTCACATCCAATGCACTTAGACTAGATGGGGAATCAATGTAGAGGCTGGATCTCTGAGTAAAAACGTTAGATAGACCGTGAGGTGAACAGAGCAAAGTCTCAAACAGCATCAGGGTCTGCAAATTGTGGCAGCAGAATATTTGTACACAGAGGTGCAGCTAGGTGGTGCAGTGAAGAGAGTGCTGGGCCTCGAGTCAGGAGGACTTGAGTTTTCAAATCCAGCCTCAGATATTTACTAGCTATGTGACCTTGGGCAAGTCACTTAATCTCTGTTTGCCTTAGTTTCCTCAGATGTAAACAATGAGGATACTAATAGCACCTACCTCCCAGGGATCTTGTGAATCTCCAATGAGATAATGTCTATAAAGTACTTAGCACAGCGTCTGGTACCTAGTGGCGATTATATAAATAATGGCCTGCTAGCCATGTGATAATCAGCGATGTCATCTTGAGGAGCACAAATGTGTGCCAATCCACATACCTGGAATTTAGAAAGTCTCTTTCTTCTGAAGAAAGCAATATGTAGTAAAAATAAGAGGCATCTCATTTATCTAGATCTCCCTTAGAGCCATGGAGGGGAAGGGTGGAGTTTTGACAAAGAGTTCAATGATTTTCCCAAAATCATATAGTAGGCCTATAGCAGAAGTAAACCCAGGTCTTAAGCATCACATTTTAGCTCCGCTTTCCATTCTGAAGTCTTTTGTATCTATCTGAGCTATAACAGGAATCACTGTGCTTTGAGGCACATTTGACCATGGGATGGAGGTGGTGGCTGCGGTGCAAGGGACAGTCCAACCACAGGGACAGGCCCACTGGGAGCAGAGGCACCTCAGCTTCTTAGAAATAGGGGCCCCATCTCTGAGTGGGTTGGGAGAGGATAGGCCTGGCAGAAGAGGGCCATGATGATGAGATGGGTGAAGGGGGCAGGATTGCTTGTCCATGGCAGTGCAAGCAAATGGAGGACCATGAGGTGGTGCCAGGGATGGCAGTTATTATAGGGAGAAAGCATTTCCATCCCACCTCCCAGTGCCCTGGGACAAAAGTCACTTCAAACTGCATTAATTGTGACATCAATTTTGTCCTTTGATCCTTATAACAACACAGTGAGATGGCCCACATATTGTTCCTTTATAGATGAAAAAAGCAAGACTCAGAGGGTCAAGTGGCTGATTTGACTAAGTCTAGTTACTTGATTAAATCTAGTTCAGTCCAAACCCAGACCTAGAATCCTGGCCCTTTGCCCAGTGTTCTTCTCACTGCACTAAAGCCATAGTTGGTTAAGGTTGAGGTTAAGGAGATGGTGGCTACTGATGGCTTCTCAAGAGGGACATCTGAAGGACTGAACTTTCACCGTATCTGAGACTCAAAGAGCCATGAAGAAAAATCACAGACATAAACTTCTGTGGAAGGAAGGGAAGAAGGCATAACGGGGGAAATTCCACTTTTAAAGGAGGAATGTCCTACCTGCTCCTCTTTTTCACAACCCTCTGAAATCAAGGATTTTTGACAGCTTCTTGGAGAGCCAAAATGCAGCAGCTTGAGGATATAGTACTGGGCTTTATGATCCAGCCTTGACTCCAACCCACTGCCACTGAGATGACAGTAAATTTCTGTGACAAAGCACTCACTATGCCAAAGATTCAGGGAGATTGAGGATCAGAGTGAATCACAGAGATTTATGGCCCCTAGATAAAGTATGTAAAGAGCTATGCAAATCTGAAAGCACTACATAAGTGCCAGTGATTATTACTGACATTACTGGCATTGTTCTCCAAATCAGCATCATCTTCATCATTATCAATAGAGTAGATAGAGGATAGTAGAAAGGCTCACATTCAAATTATAACTGCCACATACTAGTTGTGTTCCTTTGGCCAAGTTACTTCTCAGTGCTCCAGGCAACTCACTGAGACTCTAAGGTGGACATCAATCAATTAATCCAGAATGCCTGTTATGTGGCAGACAGTGGGTTAGGTGCTGGAGAAACAAAGACAGGAGTGAAATAGTTTCTGTCCTCAAGAAGCTTACATTCTACAGGGGGAAACAACACATACATATTAAAATATATTAATATGTGTCTTGAATCTGCACAAGGGAAAATAGGAAGTCCCTCATACTAATAAATTATAGGTATGGATCCTTCCTCCCTCCCTCACACCAATATTATTACAACAGAAACCCTTTCTCACCAGAGCATAGTAAGTCTAGTTGTCCTCTTTATGCTCCCCACCCACCCTTCCCCACCTCATACTAGAATTATTCCAATGATTTCTACTATACCTGGGTTCCCAGAATTTTTCTTTTCTTTTTTTTCCCACTGAGGATTTTATATGTTGGTTCTCCCCAGCTTGAGTCCCCAGCTACAGGAGGAAGGGAGAAAAAAAAAAAGCTCTGAGCCAATCCTGTGAATATTGATTAAATGTTCTAAAGCCAAGGAGGAAGCAAAAGACTCTTGGTGACTAAAACTTATGGCTGTCCAAACAGTAAATCTGCCCTGCAATTTTTCACTTTCCCCCCCTCCACACAACTACCAGGGACCAAAGTTTAGGCATCTTTACTATGTCATTAATTTTAGTTATGTCCTTAACACAGAGTGACTACAGTCTAAAGGGGCATGGGTGACAGACAATGTTTAGGCAAGTCCAATTAAGTTTCTCCTGTTTGGAGAACCTTAGGAAGATAAATAAATCATCCACATTTTCATTATGGAAACCATTATTTAGCGATGGAGCTATCTTTCCTAGGAAGTCAGCAATGATTCATGTCAAGGGGACAGGAATGGGAAAATGCTCATACTCTGCCTGGGGGAGCAATCCTCTTGAGGGGAGTACAGAAATAGGGGTCTTGCTTAAGTGATGGTTGGTACTCCACCCAGCACGATTGCTCTTGCCCTTCATTCAAGGTCATTTAGTTGAAGTTGTGAATAGAAAAGTTTTCCTCTTTCATTTTCAAAGTATTTTTTTTTCACAGCCTGCATTGTTAAAGACCGAAAGATGACCTAGATTATGGAGATGATTTCCTAGAGCACTGGACCTGGAGTCAGGAAGATTTGATGTTCAAATCCAACCTCAGACACTCACTAACTGTGTGACCCGGGACAAGTCACTTATTTCTGTTTGACTGAGTTTACTTAACTATAAAATGGCAATAAAAATAGAACCTACCTCCCAGGATTGCTGTGAACAACAAATGAGGTAATAATTGTAAAGCACTTAGCACAGCACCTGACACATTAGTAGGCACTTAATAAATCTTTCTTTCCTTCTTCCTTTCCTTCCTAAACTCCTTCTTGCATTTCTTCTTTCCTTCTTTTCTCTGTCCCTTCTTTTCTTCTCTCCCTCATTCCTTCTTTCCTTCCTTCCCTCTTTCCCTATTTCCTTCTCTTCTCTTTTTCCTTTCTTCCTTATTTCCCTCCTTCCTTCCCTCCCTCCCTCTTTCCTTCCTTCCTTCCCTTCCTTCCTTCCTTCCTTCTTTCTTTCTCTTCCTTCCTTCCTTCCTTCCTTCCTTCCTTCCTTCCTTCCTTCCTTCCTTCCTTCCTTCTTTCTTCTTTCTCTTCCTTCCTTCCTTCCTTCCTTCCTTCCTTCCTTCCTTCCTTCCTTCTTCCTTCCTTCCTTCCTTCCTTCCTTCCTTCCTTCCCTCCCTGATAAGGGTGGGGTAGGTAGGGGTAGGTAGTGACTCAGGAGTTTGGCATGTTGAGCCCAGGGCCTCCCTTCCCTCCCCCAGTGATTTCAGAGAAAGCATTCTGCTTCTTTCCAGGTCTTGCCTTTCCACCAGGGGGGTCTTTTTACAGTGCCACATGGTGAAGAAAACAAAAAAACCAAGAGTGGGAATACACAAAATAACTTACATATTTCCTCAGTGTCTGGCAAACATTGTGCCTGACAAGAGGAAAGAGAGAAACTGGGAATATGCTCATGCTGTAGATAGAGCCTGTGGCTCTGTGAGACAATGTAGGGGATTAAATATCATGTTGGCTTTTAGAATCAAACGACTTGAGTTTGAATCCTAACTCTGCTACTTACTATCTTTATGACCTGGGGAAAGCCATTTCATGTCTCCAGGCCTCAGCTTCCCATCAAATGAAGGTGTTAGACTAGATGAGCCCTGAGGTCCCCTTCCCTTTCCAGCTTCAGATCTATGATCATAGCCAGCTGTGTGATCCTGGGCAAGTCCCTTCACCTTTTTTGCCTCAGTTTCCTCAACTATAAAAAGAAGGTAATAATAGTACCTAACTCCCAGGGTTGCTGAGAGGACAAAATTAGGCAAAATTTGTAAAGCACTTACTACAGTGCTTGGCAAATACCAAGTTCTTAATAAATGCTTGTTTCCTTTCCTTTCCTCCACTGTTGAAGTGAAGAATGGGGGAGGAGAGGTAGAGGCGGGGATGGGTAAGAAGGAATGCCCACCATTTTTGATGAGCTCACCACAAGCAAGGCAAGAAGGTGCCCAGGATCCTGAGTTCTGAATTATTCCCCTTCACAGTGGGATTTGGGGTGATTCTTAAATGGTATTTCATATCCACAGTTCCCATTCACCCTCCTGTTACTTCCTTCCTTCTGAAAATGCTTTCCATTTACTTTATATCTACGTACATAGTTGTCTGCATGCCATCTCCTCTATTAGAGTATGACCTCCAAAATGAATAATTTTGATTATGTTAAATTGAAAAGTTTTTGCACAAAGCCAAAGTAACCAAGATTAGGAGGGAAGCAGAAAACTGGGAAAGAATTTTTACAACCAGTGTCTCTGATACAGTTCTCATTCCTACAATGTATGGAGAACCGAGTCAAATTTATAAGAATACAAGTCATTCCCCAATTGATAAATGGTCAAAGGATATGAACAGGCAGTTTTCAGATGAAGAAATTAAAAGTATCTATAGGCATATGAAGAAATGCTCTAAGTCACTATTGATTAGAGAAATGCAAATCAAAACAACTTTAAGGTACCACATCATACATATCAGATTGGCTAACACGACAAAACAGGAAAATGATAAATGTTGGAGATGTGGGAAAATTGGAACACTAATGCATTGTTGGTGGAGTTGTGAACTGAGCCAACCATTCTGGAGAACAATTTGGATCATAGAAATGGGAAAAGGACCCACATGTACAAAAACATTTATGGCAGCTCTTCTTGTGGTGACAAAAAATTGGAAATTGAGAGGATGCCCATCAATTGGGGATGACTGAACAAGTTGTGGTACATGAATGTAACGGAATACTATTGTGCTATAAGAAATGATGAGAAGGCAAATTTCAGAAAAACCTGGAAAGACTTATATGAACTGATGCTAAGTGAAGTGAGCAGAACCAAGAGAACGTTGTACACAGTAACAGCCATGTTGTACAACGACTAACTTTGATAGACTTAGCTCTTCTCAGCAATGCAAGGATCTAAGACATCTCCAAAGGTCTCATGATGAAAGATGCTATCCACATCCAGAGAAAGAACCATGGAGTTTGAATGCAGATTGAAGCATACTATTCACTCTTTTTTTTCTTGTGCTTTGTTTTGTTTCTTCTTTCTTGTGGTTCCTCCTATTGGTTCTAATTCTTCTTCACAACACGACTAATGTGAAAATATGTTTAGTAGGAATGTATATATAGAGCCTATATCAGATTGTACACTGCCTTGAGGAGGGAGGTGGGGAGGGAAGGGGAGAAATTTTAAAACTCAAAAGCTTATGGAAGTAAACATTGAAAATTAAAAATTAATTAATAAAATTTAAAAAATTAGACTTCAGCACTTGGAAGCTAATGACTCGATGAGACATCAAGAAACAATAAAATAAAATCAAAAGAATGGAAAAAATAGGAGAAAATATTAGCTATCTCATTGGAAAAACAACTGACCTGGAAAACATATCAATGAGAGATAATTTTAAAATTATTGGATTATCTGAAAACCAAGATCAAAAAAAGATCCTCGACATCATATTTCAAGAAATTATTAGGGAAAACTATTGTGCTATAGGAGATGATTAGCAGGCAGACTTTGGAAAACCTGGAAAGACTTGTATGGACTGATGCTGAGTGAAGTGAACAGAACCAGGAGAACACTGTACACAGTGACAGCCACAATGTGTGATGACTAACTTTGATAAACTCATTTCTTCTTAGTAATGCAAGGATCCAAGACAGTTTCAAAGGACTCATGACAGAAATTGCTGTCCACATCCAGAAAAAGAACTATGGAGTCTGAATGCAGATCAAAACATATTATTTGCTTTCTCTCTTTTTTTTCCCTTTTTTTGTTTCTTTTTTCTCATGGTTTCTCCCATTGGTTCTAATTCTTCTTCACAACAAGACTAATGTGAAAATAGGTTCAAGATGAATGTATAAGTAGAGCCTATATCAAATTGCATGCCACTTGGGGTGAGGAGAGGGGAGAGATGGGGAGAAAAATTCAAATTCAAAATCTTATGGAAGTGAATGTTGAAAACCAAAAATAAATGAATGAATTATTTAAAAAAAATAAGAACATGAGCTCCATGAGAGCAGGGACCATATTTTGGCCTTTGATTACATCTCCAGTACTTAGCAGAGTGCCTGGTACATAGTGAGCACTAATTAAATGCTTGTCAGTCAACAATGACTGACAATACAATCCTCACTGCTGAAAATTGTGCAGTTGACAAATTGCACAGCACAGGGCAGCCCCCCTCCTGTTCCCCATGCAATGCATAGTCCTCGACCTGTCACATTCCTGGATAGTGAGATCTCCCTTCCCAGATCTGTTCCCTTGGATGAAGAAAGCAAAGATCCACTAAAGAGTGTTGGAGGTTAGTGAAGCTCTTGGAGGTTTGTGGAGGATATTAGAGTTTCCAGGTTCCTTTCAGGAGAAGCATCTTTAAGAGTGGACTTAGTCTCAAGTCAAGAGTTTCCAAGTTGCATCCTTTTGCCAGGTCTTGGGTTCAGTTTGGTTTCCCCAAAGACAAATTGAATGTCCAGACTCTGTTACTGGAACTGCACTTTACTGTCACAAAGGCAGATTATATAATATATATTAACTCCTTTAATCTTTCTTCATATATCATTCCTTCCATTTCTTTAATCATCTTTATTGCTCTTCTTTGGATGTTCTCCAGTTTGTCTACTGATATAACAAAAGTGGAATGCCCTTTTCCCAGGGCATCTTCTCAGAAACATAAAGAAAGGATGATCATTTAGGTGTTGCTGGAAGTGATCAGTTAGCTTACTTGGTTAGACCTCAACGCTATTAAAAAGCCAAGGTTGGGAATTTCATTGCAAGACTGATCAGCTGTCAGCATCTTGGTCAGTGATCCCTTATTAACTGGGTACATTTCCTGATTAGTGGGTTCATACCCCTGTTCTCTTGGAACTTCTGATAATAC